AAGGGGGCCCCCCAGGGGGGCCCCTAGGGGCCCCCCTGGGGGCCCCCCTTCTTCTATAGAGGCTGAAGATCATATCGATGCAGCAGCAGCTGGGGGCCCCGTAGGGGGGCCCCCGAGGGGGCCCCCGAGGGGGCCCCCAAGGGGCCCCCCCAGGGGGCCCCCCAGGGGGGCCCCTGAGGGCCCCCTTGAAGCTGTTGTCGGGGGCCCCCGGGGGGCCCCCGAATCAGTGTATGGTTCTTCTGTCTCTTCTTCTTATTCTGTTTCTTCTTCTGTCTCCTCTTCTTCTCTTTCTGTCTCCCCCTCTTCTTCTTCTTCTGTCTCTTCTTCTCCTTCTGTCTCTTCTTCTTCTGTCTCTTCTTCTTCTTCTCCTGTCTCCTCTCCTTCTGTCTCCTCTCCTTCTTCTGTCTCCTTTTCGTCTCCTTCTGTCTCTTCTTCTGTCTCTTCTCTTTCTTCTCCATCTGTCTCTTCTTCTGTCTCCTCTCCTCCATCTATCCCTTCTTCTGTCTCCCCTTCGCTTTCTCCTTCTGTCTCCTCTTCTGTCTCCTCCCCTCCATCTGTCTCCTCTTCTGTCTCCTCTTCTCCTTCTCCTGTCTCCTCTTCTGTCTCCTCTTCTCTTTCTTCTGTCTCCTCTTCTCCTTCTTCTGTCTCCTCTTCTCCTTCTGTCTCTTCTGTCTCCTCTCCTGTCTCCTCTTCTGTCTCCTCTTCTGTCTCTTCTGGTAGTTTGTTTGTATCTACGCAGCAGTATGCACTGGAGACACCTGTCTCCGCCTTGTCTTTGCCTAGAGCAGCAAGAGCAGCAGCAACTGTTGCTGTTGCTGTGGGGTCTCCTATAGTAGAAACAATTCATGTTTCTCCTGCTGCTGCTGCTGCTGCTGCTGCTGCTGCTGCTGCGGCTGCTGCAGAGGAAGAGGAGGAGGAGACAGAACAGAGACAGGGAGACGCTGCTGCTGCTGCTCTTGCTGCTGCTGGTGGTGCTCTCCCTTCTGCTGCTGCTGCTGCTTCTGCTGCTGCTGCTGCTGCTGCTGCTGATGATGATGATGATGATGATGAGGAGGAGACAGAAGAGCCTCCATGGATAGCAGCAGGAGACTTGCTGCTGAGCCACCATCATATTGCTGCTGCTGTCCCCTCTGGTGCTTCTGCTGCTGCTGCTGCTGTGCTGCTGCTGAAGGCAAGGGCCCCCGTAAGAATAACTATACGGGTGGAGACAGAATGGAGACAGACAGCAGCAGCACTAGCTCAGGCGCTGCAGCAGACAGAAGACAAACACCAGCAGCAGCAGCAGCAGCAGCAGCAGCAGCAACAGCAGCGGCCGCAGCAGCAGCCGCAGCAGCAGCAGCAGCAGCAGCAGCAGCAGCAGCAGGAGAAGGAGCAGATGCTGCTGCTGCAGCAGGGGGGAGGAGACAGGGCGTTGCTGGCAAAAGGAGACACTTGGAGACACCCCGCTTCTCCTATCTCCGCCATTGGTTATAAACTCGAGCCGCTGCTGCAGCAAACGGAGACACCCCACAGCCGCAAGCTGCAGCAGCAGCAGCAGCAGCAGCAGCAGCAGCAGCGGCAGCAGCAGCAGCAGCAGGAGCAGGAGCTGAGGGAGCGGGAGCTGCTGCGGCTCACTCTAAAGGAAATCCTAAATGAGGAGGCTATTGCTGCTTCTGCTGCTGCTGCTGCTGCAGTGCAGCAGCAGGTAGATGCTGCTATAGCAGCAGAACTTGCTGCTGCAGCGGGAACCGATCCCGCCCCACGATCCCGCCGAAGGCCCCTATCAAACAAGCGCGAGCAGCAGCTGCAGCAGCAGCAGCAGCAGCAGCAGCAGCAACAACAGCAGCAGCAAAGACATCAGCAGCAGCAGCAGCAGCAGCAAAAGCTGCATCAACAGCAACAGCACCAGAGGCAGCAACAGCAGCAGAGACAGCAGCAACAACAGCAGCAGCAACAGCAAAGACAGCAAATGCAGCAGCAGAAGCAGCAGCATCAGCAGCAACAGAGACAGCAGCAGCAGCAGAAGCAGCAGCAGCAAAGAGAAGCAGGCAGGAGACAATCAAGAACCCTGCAGCAGCTGCCGCTGCTAAAAGGAGACAGTCCATCGATACAACTCATACACCCCACAGCTCCACACTTCGGAGACACCTCTCAGCAGCAGCAGCAGCAGCAGCAGCAGCAGCAGATGCAGCAGAAGCAACAGCTGCGGCAGCAGAAAGAGCTACCACAGCAGCAGCAGAAGCAGCAGCCGAAGCAACCACTGCAGCAGCAGCAGCAACAGCAGCAGCAGCAGCAACGAAAGGAGCAACAACCCCCGCACCAGCACCATCATCATCACCATCCTCAGCAGCAGCAGCAGCAGCAGCAACAGCAGCAGCAGCAGCAGCAGCAGGAGGAGCAGCAGCAGGATGTGGTGGTGGTTGACTTTGCTGCCTTCGATGCTGCTGAGGTGTATACGGATAGGGTGTTAGTGGGGTGGGGTTGCAGCTCCGAGGAGACAGCAGCAATAAGGAGACAGGCAAACAAGCGTCTCTCTTCTGCAGCAGCACGTCCCCTCCCTGCTGCTGCTGATGTCACTCCTGCTGTCTCCTTCGCCACCAGCAGCAGCAGCAGCAACAGCAGCAGCAGCAGCAGCAGCAGCAGCAGCAGCGGCAACAGAGACACAAAGGTACGAATGAACAGCAACGAAGGCAGCAGCAGCAGCAGCAGCAGCAGCAGCAGCAGCAGTCCGTCTCTATACGTCCCCCCGCAGCTGCCTCTCAACCCAGAAGCATTTGCTGCACGAGAGATAGCAGCAGCAAGAGCAGCAGCAGCAGCAGCAGCAGCAACCGCAGCAACAGCAGCAGGCAGAGGGGGGCCCTTCAGGGGGGCCCCCCAGGGTACACTCGATTTTGCTGCTGGGGGGTGGAGAGATAAATACAGCAGCAAAGACAAGGAGACACACAAACAAAGAAAGCTTGCTGCTCACAGCAGCAGCAGCAGCAGCAGCAGCAGCAGCAACAGCAACAGCAGCAGCAGCAGCAGCAGCAGCAGCA